TGGAATGTGGTTTTGGGGTAGGCTCTATTTCTTCGAAGTCTCCTGGTTTAGGTTCTAAAAACGGTACCCGAGTTCTCCTTGCTGGTGCCCCCTTGGGCTTACCAGACCCTTAGTCCTAAACCCGTCACAGGCTTGTGTGGACTAAGTTAAACTCGAGAGGACACATTCCCTTATGTCTATGCGGAGAATAAATTCACACGAAGACATAAGGTATATGAATCCCGAAGACTACTTGCTAGGCATATGCGGTGAATAAATTCACACGAATGCGTCGCTTTCACCCCACTTAAAGGGTTCGGAGCTCGGGTATAGAGCCTTTGGATGAAAAAGTTTGGAAGACTGAAATCATTAGAAAACGGTCAGTCCAACTATTTACTCGAAAAAAATAACCAAAAGTAAGTAATAAGGATCGAAATGTTACCTTAAAGTTCAAACTTACCCTTTTCATTAAAAAGACAACTGGAAATTACCTTAGCCTGACTCACTTACCTGTGTCCCCAGTAGAGTCGCCAAGCTGTCGCAACCGTCTTTCGGTTTGAACCCCGGAATTGGGCTTCGACTTGAAAAATGGATTGGAGTCGCCACCGATTATTTATTTACAAATAAATAGGTTAATCGGATACCTTCTATCTTACCTGATCTGCGTCTTACCAAAGATATGTCGGATTCGGGAGTCGGTTACAGCTAAGGAAGGATTAGCACCCTTGAACTGCCCTTTCGGTACTATGTAATTTCCAGTTGTCTTTAATTAAGAAAGTTGTAAATTTAAATTAAAATGTAAAATGACGATCCAAATTACTTACCTTAGATTGCTTAAATTGTACCCTTAAAAGATCAAGACATATATTAGATAAGGAATGCAAATAAAACACCTAAGGTAAAATGGAAAACAAATAAGATGAGGAAAATATAGAATAAAAACGATGGTAATAATAATAAAGATAAAAAAAAGATATATATATAATAGTAATAAATAAAAAAAAAACTAAAAAACTAAAATAAATAAATAACTATAATCAAATATGTGCAAATAAAATAAAAAGGAATAAATAAATAAATAAGACATAATAAAGGTGAAATAAAATAACATACAAATTTAAAGTGATAAGAATTAAATAAAATGTCCATATGTATATAAAAAATGTAAAATAATAGCGTATAAGGTAAAATTAATAAAAAACATATAATAATATTAATTCCATATATATAATAGCTAAATATGGGAGAGAGGGAAAAATATATAATAATAATAGAAAAATTAAATAATAATTATAGCGTATAAAGTAAAATAAATAAAGTTAATAAAACATATAATAATATTAATACCATATATATATAATAACTAAATATGAGAGGAAAAAAAAATCTATATAATAGTAATGGAAAAACTAAATAATGAAGATAAATATAATAAGAAAAAGAGTAAAGAAATAATAAGATAAAATACAAGATGTATACACATATAAATAAATAAAAATACATAAAATAATAGCATGTATTAGATAAAACAAATAACTAGGAGCATATAAATATATTTAATAATAATAATAATAATACTAAATAATCAAATATTAGGGAAAAAATATTAATAATAGTAGAAAAAACAGAATAATAAAAATATAATATAATAATAATAATAAAAAGGTAAAAACGGAAAGGAAATGTAAATATATACATATATACATAATATACCATAATAAAAAAAATAAACGTAATATATTAAATAATAAGAAGTAAATGGATAAATGAAATTAAAAACTAAAACGTTAATTGATCTTAATCAGGGGTTAAATTGAAAAGAAGGACGAATCCAGTGGCCAAATTAAAAGAAAAATCGGGGTTCAAATTCAATTCTGGGATCAAAATGGAAGTTTTTAAAGAAAGCGAACAAAAACGCGATTCACCCCCTTTTCATCAAAACGCACAGGTTTAAAGGAGATTGGGTCGGGTTCCAGGGTTGGTTTCACGGGTTGTATATATGTAAATAAATGTTTTTTAAAAAACATTTCTCTTCTTCTCTCGCCGAGCCCTTCCCCATTTCTCTCTTTTTCTCTGCTTGGTTCATGTGTTCTTGATGAACACATGAACGCCGCCGTAGTTCCCAGACTCCGGCCACCGTTGTTGGCGCCGACCGTCGCTCGCCGGCGTCAAAATATAAAAAAATTTCAATTTTTGTGAACCCCCTCCCTTCCTTGTTTTAAAAATCCGAACGACTTTTCAAAAGACACTCGCCTCGGGGGCTAGATCTACGTACATAGATCTTGAAAAACGCCCCCAGTTCATCGGCTAAGAAATGATTTTTGGGGGTTGATGTGTGACCAAACAACGAAACCAGATCCCTACGCATGCAGGAACGACAAAGGTAAGAGATTTTTACCTTTACTTCTTTTCGAAATATAGTAAAACTCTTCGACTGTTTTGAGTTTTTTTTTGGATGATTCCCCTGGTATTTCTCTCAAATTTCAGTATGTATTTCGTGTATCCACTGTTGTAAATCGTGCTCAAAAAAAATCTCCCCTGGAATGGGTTCTGATTACATATATTTATAGGAATAAAAATCCTATTTTTAGGTATTTACAACCGAATAAAACTCTAATGCAATCTTGTTTGTGTTTGTTGGTGATGACCGAGACTCTAGCGCCGGATGGTTCGGCAGGTTGAAGCGTGTTGGTTGGAGTCCCACACGTCCACGATCTTGGCTTGGTTTGTTTTTGGGTGTTTCATGGGACCACGACGCCGAGAAAACTGGTGTTGTTGAGAGGCGTACGGCTGTGGGGCTCTCGTTGGCGCTGAGGATGAATCTGCTAGGGTTCTAGAAACCCTAGCCCGAGCATGGTTCGTGGGTCCAGTTCAGGGCTTCATTGGATGCGGGTTCTAGACTGGATCGCCCCTTGTAATAATTCTAGGCCCCGTTTTTAGGCCTGAAACAAAATTAAAATGGATGTAAATGTGATGCTTCAATAAAATAATAAAACTTATAATATATATAACAATATATATATATGTTTATTTCGGTCAACAAAAGTGTGTCTACAACATCGTGTTAGCTGGGAAGAATATGGCACTTTTGGATGAAACTCGTTGCCATCTTCAAAATTATTTCAAGCTGAAGGTTTTGGGTCATTTGCGATATTTCCTTAGTTTTGAGATTGCTTGTAATAAATCTGACATTTCATTGTCCCAACAAAATAAGCTTTGCAACTGTTGACAGATATAGGTTGTCTTGGGAAGAAGCTTGTGGATTCCCTATGTTGTCTACTGTGAAGTTAAGTCCCTAGGCTTTATAGAATATTGATGGGTCGTTTTCTATATCTCACACATAGTAGACCAGACATTGCTCATACTGCTCATATTTTTAGTCAATTTGTTTCTTCACCTCGTATGCCTCACATGACAACATTGCAACATCTTTTGGCCTACCTTAAACAGTGGCCTTGGTCTTTTCTTTCCATCAGAATTCAACTTGCAGCTACGTGGTTTTGTGGATTCTGATTATGGTTCCTGCCTATATACAAGACGGTCTACCTCTGGTTATTGTACATATCTTGGAAACAGTCTCATTTCATGGAAGGAAAAGGAACAAATTACTGTTAGTAGGTCATCTTGTGAAGCCGAGTATCGTGCCATGGCATATGCTACATGTGAGTTAATTTGGTTGGCTTCTTTGCTTTCATCCTTCAATGTTCCAGTCGAGAATGCATCCATGTACCGTACTAAGCACATCGAAGTGGATTGTCATTTCGTTCAACAAAAGGTTACCTCTAGATTCCTAAAACTTCTTCATGTTCGTTCCTCTCATCCGCTAGCTGACATTTTCACCAAGACTCTACGATCTCCTGCCTATAAGTTGTTCATCCACAAGCTGGGTCTTATTGACATTCATGCAGCTCCAGCTTGGGGGGGGGTATAGCATAAACTTACTATTAATCAATGAGTTAGTTAGTTGGGATCAGTTTATTAATTATCCTTGGTTGTAAATATGTTATGTAATTGTATTATTCCAGATCAATAGATCTCATTCATTCTTCATTCACATTTCTTCATTGTTCCTCTCTGGTTTGAGCTCCTCGCAAGGTTTTCTTGTTGTTATAAATCCTTCGAAAGTATCATATAAACTTCCTCATGAATTTCACCCTGTAAAACAGCATTGAACACGTCCCTTTGAAACAAAGGCCAATCAAACATGGACTAGAGCAACGACGATTCTAACTGTAACTTTGTCAAAATTGAAAATGTTTAAAATGTGGTAATCATTTTATGATTTAAATCTGTAAATTTGACATAGTTGATGAGAGATGATGATGTGTTTGGAGATTAAATTGATAGAATTTGTATATATAGATATTTAAATTTATTAAATTATTTTGAATTCGAATTAACAAAAAGTATACATTTTAAATACTAAATATATCATCATTTTAATTTTTCGTTGTCTTCTTAATTGTCAATAACCAAAACATGTGATCAAAATGAAAGTTTGTAGTACTAACGGGGTTGTTACAAGTGATAATAGCTTGATATGACTCGAGTTCGAGTCTTTGTGCGTGCAGGTGCGACACCAGTCAATCTGAATTAGTCAAGGCTAAGTTCTAGGAAATCGGAAGGGCAACCAAAAATAATGTAAGTATTTACGATATAGAACATTTTTGTGAACAATGTTTATCGGTTTGGCTCCAAAAACATAAGATATAGTAAAAGGTTTGAAGAAAAACACTCATAGGTAAAATTTTATATGATTTATTATATACCTTATAGCTCAATAGCCTCGACATGATACAAGTAAACAGAAAAGGTTTTCATCTCCAAAAAGTCTCAATAACTACATGACTATCTTCCCCATGCTATCAAAGTTACAATTATGAACATTATGGTGTTTATATTATAATTCTAATTTACAGAGTGAAGGATGAATCAATGGCATAATGACGAATTTCTTGTGCGTTCGATGTAGCCATCGGTTCGTGCAGAAATGTAAGCTGAGAATCAATTCCGCATAACATAGACATCCCTTTTGTTTGGAAATGGCGAAATGCTCAACTCCTCGCCGTTTTTAGTGCAAACACTGTCTATCCCTCATTACAGAGACTCTGAAACATATACCAATAGGCCATTTTCAAGTGAACAGGGTAATAGTTTATGGTATAGACACGAGCAACCGGAGAGAAAGGAGGGTTAATCACATAGGACGCTGGGACAGCTTCCACATTCTTTCTGCCTTTCTTCCCCTCCGCGACTGCATTTATTAAGAATTTCACCTCCTCGTCGATAAGCATTTTTAATGAATTGTATTGCGGCGAACGTTTGGTTTCCATCTCCCGAGCGGTAGCAGAGGTTTCTGTACAATGTAGTACAGCAACACAAATGGAAAATGCTTGTAACGCGGATAACTTTGCATGAAAATCAATTGCATACCCTCCTTCAATGGCTGTCATGGTCAATGCTGGTGCATTCTCTTTGACACCCTACAAAGTAATTAAAATTGTATTAGTAATAGGGATCTAATCTAACCTACAGAAACTAACATTAATTGGAAGCAGTACCATGAAGCAAAATGCTTTTCTACAATTAGTGTTGTCCTCATCCAATAATATGGTGGAACTTTCATCATGTATTTGAGAAAAAAATTGCTTTGGAATGAAACTGCGCCTGAAGAAAATGTTCAAATGGCTGCTTGCTATTCACAAATGGTTGATCTTCGAAACAATGTAGATTGGGATTTCCGAAAACTATAAGAGGACAGGCCATGTCCCAGCCACCGCAATTGCAGCCTCCGCCGAACCTCCACCTATCTAGTAATGGCGAAGGACCCAGGATTTCAGCACAAGGAAAGCCATGGTTTCCAGTTGGAATAATGACTTTGACCTTCTCTTGGCTCCCTCTGTCTTATATCTTGCTTTTGCTTTCCTCAACCATAGAGACATTTAGTAGATCTAAATGCGTCTTATCACCAAATTTATCCCCTCTTCTGTATCTTAAGCTCTCTCTATTCGTAAATGGTACTTGAACGACTATGGACGTAATTTCAAGGTTCGGATGCAAATCCGCACGTGTTCCATTGAGGAATTCAACCTCATCATTTTCCAATGAAAGGTTTAAATGATCTTTAAGCCTCACCACCACATTAGAGCGATCATCAGTGGATCTGAGGACAGTGACATGTTGTCTTGCACGAGTGGTATCATACAAAACAAACTCTGTAACCATGGATTTTTCGACATCTTCACCATCCTTAATTTCTGAGCACAAACGGCACGAAACTTGCATCTGCGGAACAATTGAAGCAGCAGCTTTGCTGTGATCACTTGGTTCCGGTATACTGGTATTGCTCGTCTTTTTCTTGTCGACCAAGTGGAAGGTATATACCCAACTGAAAGCGTTATCTGCATTTGATGTTTTGGTGAGAAAAACTTCTGGTTCATTCATTGAGAACTCAAAAGATGGAACCCCATGTTTAGCTCCCAACTTGAGACAACCATGTAGGTGAACTGGTGAGCTAACGCTATCTTTCTCAACAAAGTCAGAATCCAATTTAGTATTTTGAGGTGAGCGTGAGAAGTCATGTAACAAAGATTTCCGAGAAGTCTTATTTCTTCTTGTATTTTCAATTGAACTAGATTTCAAGAATGGATCAAACATTTTTCTAATAGGAGTGAACCTGGTCCTTGCGCTGGTGCTGGAAATCGAGTCACTTTCAGAGGAACATGGTGAATGAGGCATCTTGATCTTGGCAGATAGCGAGCTGTGTGGATTATGAGCTGCATCGTTTTCAACAAGGTTCATACCATAGCCTAAAGGACTAACAACCGGTTCACATTGAAAACTAATGTCCATCTTGTTATCTCCCCCTAGAGTTTCCCCCAACAGTTTTTCTTTCTTGTCTGAACATAGATTTCTATGAAGTCATCTGATGAGCATGACTTTGAATAAGGTCTGCTAATGGATGATGAGTTCAGGTTCGAGCCGGCATACATCACTGGATTTCTTTCTTCTGAATTACTAAGAGATTTAACAATTGTGAAGGAAAAAGAGGTGCCAATACCAGACACTCATTCGAATTTTATCCTCCCAATGATCTATAGAAACTTGGTTCAGCTCAGCAGTAGTTTCTGGCCAATGAATCTACATGGAATGCTGTTACAAAAAGCATGGTAGCAACAAAGCCGATATCCGAAAAGCCTCCTTTGCCCTCGACAAATTCCCTTTACAACATGAAACAACGGTGATGGGACTTGGGACTAGGGACTCGGATCAGATGAGCAGTTCTTCTCTAAGTTTTTCCATTGATGCATTTCCAGTCCTGCAAGAATGCAAGCCATATAAAATTGATCCATTACAACCAAGCCATTCCATCTGTTTCTAAAATACTTGAAGAAAAGCAACTACTGTCTGCAAAAGGAAGGAAAAATATGAATTAATGAATAGACAGTCAAAAATCACAAATGAAGCTCGAAGAAAGACCTTATCTATCAAGAAACCTCTGTTCATAATTCATATACGAAAGGCTTATTTGAAAAATAAATACTCAAACTATGCATGTTTTCCAATTAATCTAAATAAAGCTAAAACCTTTGAGCCAACCAGGAATCTCGTGATCTCCATAAACACTCAGAAAAAGAAGTAAAGTGACAGGGATAAAGGCATATACAATACAATTATTAAATAAAAACAGCGACTTTATTTCACTTCCATTCCAAGGCAAAAAAAAAAAAAGTGGCCAAAAGAGATTTCTAGAGAAAATGGGCATACATTACCCAGTATTCATATAATTGAAGTGAATTAAAAGAAAAGGCAAACAAATTGTAAGAAAGATGTAATCATACCCTTCAAACTCTTGAGCTGAATCTACAAGAAAGCAAAGAAGAAAAACATCAAAGAGAATTGTTTAAAGAAGAGTTAGAGAGTAGTGAAAATTCTGAAAGGGATCAACAAAAGGGATGTTCAATGTGAAATCAAAGGAAAAAGCAACAAGAACACTGGACCAGTACTAGAAAAGCTTAAGAGACAAAAAAGTGATTTTTTTTTCAAAGAGAAAACATAGCTTGTCTGTGTTAAAGGTTGTGTTTAGGAAAGTCGTATTTGTTCTCTTCGTTCAAGCATGAGCTGACAATGTGTTTGGGAAATAAACGAGAAATTTCATTATAATCAGATTAGTGAGAATGCGAAATAAAAGCGGAAAAAAATACCCAAAATTAAAAACGGAGTTTAGCCAATTATGCCTACGTCTCCGGACTGCTGTAGATCTTTTACTAAAGAGAGAAAATTTACAGGTGTTTACAAAATACTCACGACTCACAAGAAAACTCTCTAAACTCTTTAGTGGTGGGATAAAGAAATGATTTAGGATGATTTTGAAGCTAAATGGGTAAGGGTATTTAAAGTTGAAGCTTAGGGACTAATCTTTGAAAATACCCTAAAGTGCAATTTACCTATTTCCATTTTCAACACAAAATCTGCCAACTTTGAAATTGTGCACCATTCGATGCCAAACTTTGAACATGCACCGAATGGTGCAGGCTTATTTGACTAACAATCTCCCACTTGAAGACTGATTTTAATCTGTCTTCACGCCTCGATCAATGCAGCAATATTTCTATTCTTGTTACTCTAGCATGCCAACTGAAGCTGAACACAACTTCAGTTTGTCCGTAGTTACCGCCTTGTAAACCCACTTGTTATTGGGCAGTTTCTCCATGGTTACCTTGTCCCTCAACGTCTTGGCTCCCTTCGACTCTTGTCCACTAGTCTTTGAAGGATTGTTCCTCACTTGAACATCCTTGGCAAGCCCCTGTTTCGACCCTTCTCTTAAGATGGTCTCTGAAGCCATGTTCTCTACACGATTATGCTCGACAAACTCCTTGGACACATACAACTCGATCTTGGGCTCATCCATCACCTTGGATGACTCGGCTTCCCTCGGGTAATTTGGCAACACTTCTGGCATCTTAAGTCTGCGCCCCCTTGTTTGCTCGACTCTTACCCTCGGCTTAGCATCTTTGAAACTCGAACTTATGCCAAGGCTGCACACATCTTCCCCTGATCCATAATCTGGTTTATCATTGGGTGGACTTTCTCTGCCACTTCGAGGAACAACATTCATCATCCTTCGACTTGCCTTCATCATGGAATATCTTGTCGATACCCTCGACTTTTGGCTTTGCTTTGGAAGTCTTGTCCTTCTTGACTCCAAATTCTTTGATGGACTTAGCGGTTGTCAAGGCTTTGGACAACTCCTTGACTTCCCTTCGTTCCAACACTTTCTTTTCCCACGGCTTTAATCCGAACATGAAGGTGAAGAACCCATCTTCTTCAATCAAACTTGGGACTTTGAGCATGAGTCTTCTGAATCGGCTCACATACTCTTTAAGTGTCCCTTTATGCCTGAGACGCCTCAACTTGGACCACGCCTCAACTTGGACCACGCCTCCATCCTGGCATACTGTGAGCAGACTTGCTCACTCTGCACCCTCGGCTTGATGGCTTTATCTCTTGCAATCGCACCGGGTCCCTTCTTATGCTCGACTGCTTTGACACCTGCAGTCTCGTCACGTCTCAATCCTGGATTGACTACTTGAGAACTTGTAGTCGCACCATGCTTACCTCTTGATTCGGCTACTTTGGAACATGTAGCCTCATCAAGTCTTTCCCCTGTCTTGATTGCTTGGATACTTGTAATCCCGGGCTTTCTTCCGGGTTTGGCTGCTTCAACATCAACAGCTTTTCCTCGTCTCGATCCTTGCTTGGTTGCATTAATCCTATCAATCGCGCCAAGGCTTTTTCCTGGCTTGGTAGCTTTAACACTTGTGACTGCGCCAATTCCTGCTCCTTCTCCTTCTCACATCCTCTTCATGATGGTTGTAAGGAGACACTTCTCGGGATATCCTCTAATCAAATGAGGACCATCATAGAAGTAGCACTTTAATTTTTCCTTGCTCCCCTTTCCCGATGGCTTTCCTTGGCTTCGAACAGTCGATGGCTCACCTTGGTCATTCGAAGAGATTTCTTTACCATCTCCCTGCTGCACCTTTTCTCGGTCTCCCCCACTGTTTCCACTATCTCTAGGAATGGGCCTGGACGACACATCGCTACTTGGCTTGTCACCTTCAAGCTCAGTCAGCTTTCTGGCTACAGCTATGGCCTCCGAAAGTCTCTGGGCATCTCCTTGCTCTCCCTCGAGCATCGCCCATGGTCTAAGTCCTTCCAAGAACGTCTTGAGCGTACCCCATTCACTCATTTCTCCTTTGCTTATGAGCAGCTCCCTCTTGAGCTCATCCACTTCGTTTCTCAAAGCCATTGATCCCACTCGAATCTGGCTTCTTTTGGATCATTTCTGACAATTCATGCGAACCACCGTGTATTAGAACACCTCCGTCGACAAATTTGTATCGTCGATCCAATTTTACTATCCATGAAATTCACTATTCACATGAATAGTAACCTTGTAGAAAAACCGAAAAAATTCACCACCAAAATCTCTTGATACCAGTTGTTGGGAAATAAACGAGAAATTCCCCTATAATCATATTAGTGAGAATGCAAAATAAAAGCCGAAAAATAATACCCGAAATTGATAACGGAGTTCAACCAATTATGCCTACATCTTAGGACTGCTGCAG